TCCCTACCTCCCAATGTGCAGCAGACATCACCAGGACACCCCCTGTCTTCTGAAACCCTAACATGGCAGCAGAAAAGGCTGGCGGGACAGAGTCACTGATCATAGCTCTCCATCCCAGCTACCACCAACATACCTGGGATAAAGAATGCCACTGCTTCACTGCGCTGGGCCCCCAGGCCATTGTCAGCCTCACAGGAGTAGTTTCCAGAATGTTCTGTAGTCAGGGAGAGGTTGAAGGATGCTCCCCCTCCAGAGGGAGCTGAAACATTGCCCAGAGTGATGTCTTCGTGATAAAACTGGTACAGGATCGGGGGAGAGCCTCTCAGGGCCTTACAGTGAAGCTCCAGTACACCCCCCACCACAGGCTGGACTCCGGGAACCCGGAGGGTGAGAATGGGGCGAGACACTAGAACTGATAGACACAAAGGGGCTATCAGAGAAGGTGTGTGGTGCAATAGACTCACAAACTCCCACACTAGGGTCTCAGCAAAGGGGCCTGGCACCAGGTAGCTGCAGTCCTTCCACTCTTAGATCCCTGCTAGAACCCTCAGGAGTAATTTTCTCAATAGCATTGAGAAAATCGTTTAGAATTTGGAAGGAATGCCAAGTCTGGGATACTGTCTGGAACCAGAGTCCTTTGTAAGCCTCATCTTATTTTTTCTTACATCCGTCTAGCGTTTCTTATGTGTACTTCTACAAAAAAAAAAAAAAAAAAAAAAAGATGGCAGCAGTTTAACTCTCAAGGGTAAACCATTCTTACATTGCTATTTATTCTACCCAGCACTGAGCACTGAGAACTCCTGGAATTTCCTTATGACTCCTGGGAACCGTGACCTTGGTTTGGAATTTCTGAGAGGAATGAGAGCACACTCACGTCTCACGAGGATGTGCACCACCTTGCTCTGGATGGGACCGTGGCCATTGTCCGCTCTACAGTGATATTTGCCGGCATCACTCTCCTTCAGAGCAGGGATCTCCAGTTTTGCTGACAGGGAAGGCTGGGTCATCTTTCCTAGACAGGCTCCTGTGGCCTCTTTGTGCCAGGAGAATGTGATGTTTCCTGTGCCCTTAGCCACTGAGCAGAGCAGAACCAGCTTCCTTCCTTCAATCACCTGCCCCTCAGCGGCCCAGGCCTCTAAGCGTACATTAGAGACGGGCACTCCTGGGTGGATATAAGATAGTACGTGAGAACCCTGCCCATGGAAGATTCTGGAAATGGGAGTAAACCGATCGATTTCATTCTTTTTTTTTTTTTTTAGAGAGAGAGAGAAATATTTGCTATACGGTGTGTTTGCTCACCGGAGAGACAGAGAGACAGAGAGACAGAAAGTGAGAAATCATCCCTCAAGGAAGATGGCCATGCCACAATCTCTTCTCCTCCATTCTCCTTTTGGGAGTTTGGGCATGTATGCACTCACACCAAGCATGAGTTTTAAGTTACCGGGTCTGGGATTTGAACCATGATTGACTACATGAGATTCCAGTGACATAATCAGTACACCACCAGCTGGTCTCTGATTCCACTCTTTAATGCAAGGAGTGAAGGTATGGAGGTTGCATATGCAATCCTTTATAAATATTTCTACAGAGGTAGGGAACCCCTGACAATTATCCTGGAAGAATGTGGATGTAGATAGATACTTGTATGTCTTAACTCTGACCTGGCTAATTTCATGGGCAGGGATAATTAAAGAATTTTTTTATTAATTAATCAGTATATGAGATAGGAAACTAATTTTTTTTTTCTAAATAAGATGCTGTGCAGACAGGCACCTTTTGCAGAAATTGAAAAGGGACTCTGGTAGCATCAGTCCTACCTCGAGGAAGGCATTGTTCCTATGACAATCCCAAAACAATTCCTCTATCATTCCCAATTATTTTTTAGAAGTTTTTTGTCCTATGGCACCAGTGCTCACTGGAGAGAGAAACAGAGATAGTAAGAGGGAGAGTGAGAAATCACACACACACACACACACACACACACACACACACACACAGGGCTTGGCTAGGCGGCAGTCCCTTCTCCATTCTCCTCCTGGGATCTTGGGCACTCATGCACATGCACTTGACGGGAGTTTCAAGTCACCAGGTTTGGGACTTGAATCACAGTCAGCTACTAGGGAGTTCAACAACCTAATGGCTACACCCTCTGCTGGCCCCTGTCATTTTCAGTTCAAGGCTAAACCAGGTGACAGTCCTCTCTGACTAAGCCAGCCTCTTCTGATCCCTGCTTCCTCTGATGCTTCAGTTAGCCCCCCACACTGTAGGGTTCCAAGAAGTGTGTGTGTGTGATGGTGTGTGAGCCATTGCGGGCCCCTTGCCTCTTAGAGTACCCAACCTGCTTTTGAGTACTAAGGCACAAAGTCAGGGACAATGCAGACTTGATCAGTGAATATTACTTGAGTAATTGAGAAAGAAAAGATAATGAGCTTATTCTACTCCTGATTTTTACAAAGAGAGATGAGCAGAGAGATTTGGAACACTGGACAGTAGAGTAGAGCAGCCGAAAAATGTGATGCTCTGTTAGGCTGACCCACACGGAAAGGTTCAGGCTCACACCCAGAGACCTCTCTGAGTACTCAGGGTACACACATGCCCATGGTCTGTGCTGGCTGAAAACAGGGGTGGAGTGCAGTGCCAAGACCTTGTTTGGGATTTCTCTCTCTCTTACTCATAGAAGAAAAATCACAAACTTTTTTTAGAGCAATTTAGAGAGTTCTTTAGTTCAGTTTCCATATTTTGTAAGGATAGGAGCTGCACAAAGAAGCAAAAAAACTAAGGCCAGGTTGTGCCCTGGTGACTAAAGGAGCTGAATCTCACGTGGTTCAAGTTCCAAACCTAGTGGCCTGAAAAACATGCCAGACATGTGTGCATGTGTGCTCAGATCTCAAAAGGAGGGATAGAGAAGGGATTGTGGTGTGCCCATTGCCCATGAGGGGTATTTTCTCCCTCTTTCTCTCTCTGACTTTCTATGGTGAGTGCACAACCACTCTTGCAAATTAAAAAAAAAAAGAAAAAGAGAAAGAAAAGAAAAAGAAAGAAAGGAAAAAGGGAAGGAAAGAAAGAACGAAAGAGAAAGAAGAAAGAAAGAAAAAGACTAGCAGTCCAGGCTAAGGCCATGGCACTTCTTTTTCCCTGGGCTAAACTCAGCTGTTATTTACTCTGCACGTGTATCTGGGATGTTTGGCTCCTTTTTCTGACCACGTGAGTCATGGTCACTGCTTCACACCAGTAGTATCCTGAGTCTTCAGTCCTCATGGTGGGGATCTGGAACTCTGGGGAGTGGCTCCAACCTGACCCCAAGGTCCGACCATCTCTGAAGAAGCTGAACTGGAGCTGGACATCTGCCTTCTGCAGAGGGAGCTGAGTCTTACAGGTCAGAGTCACTGGGCTCCCCTCTGTGGGCTGGAAGGAGCTAGCCATCAGCACTGGACTTGGAAAGAGCTCTGGAGGGAAAAATCACAACAGTCCCCAGAGCAGTGAGAGCCAGGGTCCCTGCTGCAAAATACCTGGTGAATAACTACCCCAGTAAACAAAACATTCAGAACTGGGCCTGCGTCACCCGTCACGTCTCCATCTTACGGTCAAAGCAAATCATGGTTAGAGATGCTATTGGGCAGGCTCGTGAAGGGCAGCCTTATGCACTCAGGGCAGTCCACATTTGACCCATGGACAGCTTTCCCCTGCTAGTTCGCCCCCCCCACCCCCAGCCACACTCAGCTACCTCAGTTGTCTACCCAGCCCAACTCCCACAGGGTGAAGATTTACCGTGGACGTCGATGTTTACTCGTTTTGAAGTTTCTGTCCATGAAATGATTGTTCTTCCAGTAGCAGTACAATAATACTCGCCACTGTCACTCAGAGCTGCACTTGGGATATGAAATGCTGAGACTACTTTAAAAAAAAATAGCTCTCTTCTATCCTTGTAGTAAGTCATAGTTTTTATTTTCCAATCATCCTTTCCCTTGCACATCAGAACTATGCTATCTCCTTCAAATACAGAAGAGGGTGCTAGGAGAGTCAGCCAATCTGCAACAGAGGAAAGGAAACTAGATTTACCATTTCTGCGAAAACCCAGGTGTCTGACTTGCTCCCTTGCTCTTAGGCAGTAGATGGTGGCAGGTGGAGCCTCTATATCCTCAGACAAGGGAGAAGCCCCATGTGTGCCTTAATTACTTATGGTCATATTTAATTTTTCCTAAGGGAGTATCTTTGCAATATTATCTATGCAGTAACAAACTGTAAACTGGTGACTTATCAGCAACACACATTTATTTCTCACAGTTCTGGAGGTTGGAAGTCCAAAGTCAGAGTGCCCAGTGGTTTCTCGTGAGGACTCTCTCTCGGTTGCTGACTGCTGACTTCTCATATCCTCACATGGCAGAAGAAAAAGGCTCGCTAGCTCTTTGGCCTCTCCTCAGGAAGGCTCTGATCCCATTCATGAGGGCTCCACTCTCCTGATCTAATTACCATCCAAAAGCCCACCTCTAAATGTCATCCTTTTGGGATAAGAGTTTCAACATATGAATTTGGGGGAACACAAACATTCAGTCTATTGCAAGGAGTTATAGTGATGAAGAAGTGTTCTGCTAAGACTCCTTATCCTTAGGTCTCTTCATTGGTGACTTTACACAGAAGATCATTGTCTTCATTTGTTAAGAAGCAAAAAGCCACAGCAAGTTCCAAGGTGGAGAATAATGGGGACCTCGTGACTCTAAGTACATAACAGACCAGCAAGTGGGAACTGCAAGGGGAGCCCTTTGAGAAGACTCCACCAGGGAGAGGCAATAAAGCTTGGAGGACCAGAAGTGACCTCGCAGCAAGAGTGACTCACCACCAGTGATGACTGACTGGTTTTAGTTTTCAGTTATAAACTCAGGTCCCATTTCTTCTTCTCACCTTACCTGATGAAGTAGCCACCAAGTAGCCTGGATTTCTGGGGAGTAGTCAAGTACTGGAAAAATGTCCAGTATCTTTAATTCTCAGAATTTCCTACTTGAATGCTTTCAGAAAAGAATTCTCATTCTCTTAATGTATAATGAGTGGGGTGGGGGGGGGCGAACTAGCAGGGGAAAAAAAAATGAATGAGTGAATGAATGAATGAGATAAATTTTTTTTTGGGAGACATTTTCACTGTAGGGCGCGTGCGCTCGCCAGACAGACAGAGAGAGACATAGAGACAGAAAGCGAGAAATCACCCCCCAGGGGGGATGGTCACGCCGCAATCCCTTCTCCTCCATTCTCCTCTCGGGATCCTGGGCACGCACGCACACGCGCCCGGCGTGAGTTTTAAGCCACCGGGTCCGGGACACGAACCGCGGTCGACTACGTGGGAGTCCAGCGACATAGCCATTACGCTAACTGCTGGTTCCCTGAATGAGATAATTATTAAAAAAAATAGAAGTCTCCTCTTCACCAGTATTCAGTGGCATCATGACTGCTAAAATTTGTATGTATAAAGGAAGGAAGCAGAGGTCAACCATAAGAAATGTGATTGGATTCTTGGACAGGAAGGAAAGTATAATGTCATTCAATGGAATAATATTTGATGTTTTTATTGTGTATGTTAATTGCTTTATGTTTTCCTTGAGACTAAGATGTTGCTATTCTTAAGTCAAATGGCCTTTTATTTTATTGATTACATTTTTTATAGTTTACTTATTTTTATATATTCAACCACTATATATCATTACAACTTATAAAATAACTTTTCTCAGCATGAATGCACTGTATGTTAGTCCAGTTAAAGATATTATCAAACATGTTATCATCAACAGATAATTTTCCATTTCTGTGTCCCTTAAATATTTTCTTTCTTTCTTCTTTCCCTTGATTCCTTTCCTCTCACCTTCCCCTATTTCCACCTTCCTCCTACACTCTCTCTAGTATCCACAATTGTTCTCCATATATGTCTTCTATTCTTTCAGTTTCTGCCATAGAGCACGGACCTTTGATATATATTAAGTGGAGACATACAAGGTATATATTAAGTGGGGACATACAATGTCTCTCTTTTATAGCCTGGCTTGCTTTGCCTAGCAGTAAATCTTCCACATTCATCCACTTTCTATCAAATGCCAGGATATTATTGTTTTTTATGGCTGAGTAGTTTTCCATGGTGTCTATGTGCCACACTTTTATAATCCAGTCATCTATTCATAAACATTTGCATTGGTTCCATGTGTTAGCAATTGCAAATAATGCCACAGTAAACATGGTTGTGCAAGAAAAAAAGAAAGAAAGAAAGAAAGAAAGAAAGAAAGAAAGAAAGAAAGAAAGAAAGAAAGAAATGTGATAGCTTGTAAAACATCACTGCAGATCCAGAAAGAGGTTTATGGAATTTGGAATGATAATATTTGGGAAATGTATGATTTGTTACTGACTGTCCCAGGAGAACCAGAATTACCATGGGACACTGGAGGACAATTCAGTTAGTTAGTTAGTTCTCTTTAAGTGAAATTAGAAGGGTAGAGAGGGTGAGTTGCAGAGACAATTAGCTTAATGGAAGATTTTTACCCTCCTTCACAGATGAAGACTAGACCCTAAGGGAACACTACCATGGGACTTGAACCAAGCCAAGTTTTAACCCATGGATACTATGTTCATCCAGAACCTGGAAAATTCCAGAGGAGAATGCTGTCAAGGCTAGGAGGGAAACATTCTAAGTTGTGGTTTGAGAGATTATTGAAAACAAACAAACAAATGAAACATTTAAGAGAAACAAAAATTAAAAGTTAACTGTTGATAATAATGTATATGGCAATGTCTCTGATTTGACTAATATGCATTGTATTCATGGTGGAAAAACCACACTGTATGCTGTGAAGATGTACAGTGATTAAATGTAAACAAATAAAATAAAGTCTTTTTAAAGAAAATTGAAAAGCCTTAAAAAAAATGGACCAGTAAATGTCATAATGGTTATGTTGTTGGACTCCCACTTAGTTGGGCTTCAGTATGGGCTTAAAACTCAAGCCAGGCACCTATGCATGTGTGCCCAAAATCCCAAGAAGAGAGTGGAAGAGAAAGAATTACGATGTGGCCATTCCACCTGGGGGGTGATTTCTCATTTTCAGCCTCTCTTTGCCTCTCTGATGAGTGCATGTGCCCTATAGCAAAAATCTCTCAAAAAAAACAAAAAGCAAAAAATTGTTAAAAATGAAAGGAAAGTCTCTTGAAGAGCAGCGTCAGAGGTTCAGGGCTGCCACTAGTACATGGGCCTTGGGGTCAGTTGATTCGTGGCTTCTAACTTATTGTTAAGGAGCAATAAATGCCAACAGCAAGCCCCAGGGTGGAGGATAATGGGGACCTCATGAGGCTGAGTCATAACTGACCAGCAAGTGGAAGAAGCTATGGAAGCAGTTGGGGTTGCCACTGTAGCTCTTAGGAAACAATCCACCTGGGAGAGAGGCATAAAGTTTTGAGGCCCAGAACAGATCTAGCAGCAAGAGTGACCCATCACTAAGGAAGACTGGTTTCAGTTCTCAGAACATGTGACCTAGTGTGTAAGAGGCAGATCACAGTGCTTCCCATCTGAGTCTACTACTGGTTAGATGTATGAACTTGGACAAGCCTTCAACCTCACTTTACCTAAGATTTTTCTTCTGAGAAAGAACAATGACAAATATTTGCTTCTTCTGAATATTTACTTCTCCTGTGGCTGCTCTCAGGTTTCTATGAGACAAGCATATAGAAGTGCTTGCATGGAGAAAGCCTCCAGGCTCCTCCACCTATATCTGTGTTGGGCTTCTGGGTTCAGCTTCAGGGCTATGAAGCCCTCCCCAGCCAGGGAGCCCTCCAGTGCTAGTCAGGTATGCACTTGTGTCTCCCTCTTGTTCTTCTCTGTCCCTTCCAACTTGTTTTCTCTCTTATTAAAAAAATAAATAAAATTAAACAACAACAACAACAAAAACAGTTTTATTTTCTGTTTGTGCCTTTCTCTTGTTAATTTGTCTCTTCTTCCCTCACCTGAGACTGAAAGCCTCCAGGCTCCTTCATCTCTGCCTGTGTAGTGCACTGCGCAGTTTATCATTTTCAACCCAATTTCATTTTCTGCAACATAATTTCTAAGTTTTTTTCATTTTTTCTTGTAGTACTTTCCTTATTTTTCCTTTGCCTTTTTTCCCTCTTTCTATTTCCTACTTTCTTTTTCTTTTTCTTTACTCTCCTGTTTTACTGCCCAGCCCTTAAGCACTATGTAGAGATGACTAGGTGCATAGTAGCTAAACATCTGAACATTGTGAGCTGTAGAGAATTCTTTGCATTTCACTGTGGTGGTTGTAAATATAATGAAATTCCCCTTCATAAATCAGATTGCAAAACTACTCCCGTTTTTCCTGCATTGGAGAACACAGTAGAAAGGAGAAAATAGCACCAGATTATTTCACAGTAAGGGAAACACATGAGCTCATAGTGACAGAATCCTTCTCCAACAAGTTAGACAGAAATGAATACATTACCAAATGACTAAAAATCAGAGAAGAACCTCAAGGATGAGAGAATCAAGTAATATATTTCCAGCAAGGGAACATTGTAACTTGTCTTTAAGTAGGGAACTATTAGAGGATATTACTGAAATGTCAGAAAAATAATTTAGAATATTTATGATAACAAAATTCTATGAGACGCAAGAGAAAAGAGACACTGAGCTCTAAGAGATGAGGAAGTCCTTCCACAATATGAAAAAAGAATTGGACACAATAAAAAAGATTCAAATGGAACTTTTAGATTTGAAGGCTGTAATACAAGAAATTAAAACTTCCCTCAAACATATTAAAAGCAGATTAAACCATGCAGAAGATCGAATCTTGGAAGTAGAAGACAAAACCAATAACCTAGATAAAATTATCAAAAATACTGAGGAAACAACCCCAAAAATTGAGGATACTATACAAGAAATACTAGATACCATGAAACACCCAAACATCCAAATAATTGGTATCCCAGAGGTGAAGAAACCAAAAAGGGCATGGATAATCTATTCCGTGAAATTCAGGAAGAAAACTTTCCAAGTCTAGAGAAGCACTCAA